GAGAACTCTATCTCTTCATATAAAGAGTCGCCATCTCGGAAACCCACCGGGCGTCCTGCCTTGCTTGGTAGGGTCACCGCGAGTCAGAATCGCCTCGATGGCAGTGTTTGGCTTGGTTTCCATTAACAGCAACAATCAGGGCAAGCCTTATTCCTTGAGGAAAGCAGGAGATCCCACGGGAGAGGAAACATCATCTGAGTGCTGTGAGACTTTGGACAAACGATCCACTTCTCTGTGCCTCAAGTTCCCATCTGCAGGAGGGGAAACTACCTTTCCCAAGGTTACTTTAAGAGCTTGTAATTGAGAGTCCATATAATACTTACATTGAACAACTCTAGACTTCTTAGCCCAAGAGATCTCTGGGTAAGAGATTCCCATCTTGTGGATGATAGGGTTCTAGTCCCTCATGGATTAGGAGGAGAAACGAAATGTCCTTCACAGAAGTCAGTTAGCATCCTTTTGTCTCCCGGGGTGTGCTGACCTGTACTGTCGATCCTTTGCTGCCACCTGGTGGGCATACACTTGCAGTACAGCCTGGCTGGTTTGCTATTACGTTCCAAATTAGGATAATGCTAACTAAGAATGTGGGGTGAGTGATGAGGTTAGGGACAACCTAACCTGGAGAGCCTGGAGAAGTCGTGGTTACGCGATGGTCTGCTAACTTCAAGGTCAGCAGTTCGAAACCACCAGTCGTTCCACGGGACTTTCTATTACTGAAAAGGGTTACAGTCTCGGAAACCCACAGGGGCAGTTCTACTCGGTCCTAGAGTCACCAGGAGTCGGCATCAACGAGCTTGCTAGCAGTGAGTTTGGTTTGGTTTTGCTTGAAAGAAAACTGTCTGGGTTTCATGAGAGGAGGGTAACCTATTATCCCTGAGAAGTAGTGAGCAAGCCAGCCTAAAACCCCATTCCATTGCCTTTGAGTAGATTAGGATTCATAGCGAGCCTATAGGACAGAGTAGAACGCCCCATCCGATTCTAGACTAACACCGATGGGAGTGACTGCTGCCACATCTTTCTGATGTGGGGAATTGGTGGGTTCAAACTTCCGACCTCTTGGTTAGCTGTCAAGTGCTTTCACCACGGTGCCACCGTGCTTCGCCAACCAGCCTCCAAACGAAACAAACCATGCAAACAGCTCACACCCCTGAGTCCATTGCAACTCCCAGCAACCCTTCCGGGCGGCATCGAGCCACTCCTCAGGTTCTGAGCTGGTGAACCTTCATGGGTGCAGAGAGCCTCATCTTCCTCCCGGGGGGGGGGGGGGGGGGGGGGGGGGGGGGGGTGCGGGGCAGCTGGTGAGTTTGAACCACCATCCTTTAGCTCAGCGGCCCAACACGTAACCCATGACGTCAGTTCCTTTTTTTTTTTCAGAGCACATTTTCCAGTTCATAAGATTATTCCATTAACATCATTAACTATACTGGTTTTATTCATTTTTATTATTTTTTAGGTGGTGATGGTGGTGGTGGGTGGTGCAGGGGGTGGGCGGGGTTCCAGACCAAACCAACCATCCTATCAACAAATGGGCAAACATCCAGGGAGGATTTTCAAATGGTCACCAAGCACAAGATGCTCAGCATCATTAGCCATTTTAATTCAAGTCCGACCATTGAGTAGATTCAGACTGATAGTGCCCCTCTGCTTCATTTCTGAGACTGGACATCTACACGGGAGCAGACAGACCCATCTTGCTCCTGCCAGTTAGCATTCCACACCCCAGTGACATTGATTATACTCATAGCGTTGTACAACCATTATTGATATCCTTTTCCAAGTTATTCTGCCACCATTAAGGTAGACTCGATGCCCTCTAAGCAAAAATGCTTATTCCGTCACCCAGGATAACCGTCGGTCAAGTTTGGTGTCTTCTCTTTTTCTTTTTAGTAGTTTTATTGCTATAATATTCACATAGCATACTCTTCCATAGAGAAATCGTTCTTAAAAAGAATTGTATGTACGTCATCACAATCAGTTCTAATGCTCCCTTCCCCCTTCTGCATTCATTGTTCCCCCAATTCCCAGACTATAACCCTTAATGGAAGTAGAAAGCCTCTTCTTGCTCCAGTGAAGCAGCTGGTAGTTAAGAACCGTGGACCTTGCAGTTAGTGGAACAACATGTAACCCACTATGCCACGAGGAGTCATAAGAACAATCTAAGTTTTTGAGAAAACAACTGAAATGTCCATCAACAGATGGATGGGTAAACAAAATGTGGTATATACAGACAATGTGAAGAGATGAAGTTTTGATGCAAGTGATGACATATGAGACGTGAAAACACTGCAGAGTGAAATGACTCAGTTGCAAAAGGATAATACTATATGATCTCTTATGTAATAAGCCAATATATTGAAACCAAAGACTATTGTTACCTGGGAAGGGAAGGAAAGAGAAAGCGGAATTTTTTGTTTGTTTGGGGGTGGGCGGGCATTATATTATGTTGGGGGTGGTGGAATATTTTGAAAAAAGATAGTGATGATGGCAATACAACATAAAAACCATAACTAATGCCGTTGAGTTGTGTGAAAGCTGTTGTGTTAGCAGATGTTTTGGTATGTGTGTTTTCACCAGGATAAAGAGGGGGAAAACATGGCTTTAAGAAATGGAAATTGATTTTCTCTCTGTTCTGAAGGCTGTCAGCCTGTGACAGTTAGGTATATTGTGCCAACCTGGCTAATGAGAACATGTGGGATTAATCAGGTCACAGTTTGATTGGAGGGCAAAGAGATAAATGACTCTGTAAGACACACCCCCTCCTCACTCTCTGCTGATCTGGGCATGCTGGAGTGTGCTGCTGCTTTAGCGAGTTCTCTGCCTCAACCTGTGAGCCACACCACCTGTGGGTCAAGCCAACCCCTGGATCATGTTGCTGGGGTTTGAGGCTCCTTCAAGACCTGCTTCACCACGCTGCTGGTGTGCACATCGCTTGAGCTTGAGGCTGGTGGATCCTGTGGCCTTGCATTGCTTGCGTTTGATAGCCCATCCCTGCTTCACTAAGCTCCTCGCGCTACTGACTGACTTTTGGTCCCCTGTTGTTTGCCGTCTGTGGGCAGACTCTATTTGCCCGGCCCAAGGGAGGACTCCACTGTCTGCTTCCTTGACCTTGGACCCGGCAGTCCACTTGAGTTGAAGGACTTCCAGTATATTAACTGTTCCATGGAAGTGAGTTGAACTGAACGCTCTGTACTGTGTGGACTAATTAGCTGTTATGGTCCTTCTCACTGTATAAACCTACTATGCCCTGTGATTAAAGTAAGTGGTAAATTACAGCAACCCAATCCTGTAGTAGCCAAAGTAAAAGTGTTCAGTGGATGGGCTCAAAAGGCAGATTGGAACGGACAGGGGAAAGAATCAGTAGCCTCGGAGATAGAACAAGAGCAGAGAGAAACTAGACTGAACACTAGCTGGACACCCAGGGCCCAGAGGACTACAGCAAGAGCTCCGCCCATGTCATCAGAGCCTCCGACGATGAGAGATGAGGTAAGGCTGAAAAGCTACTCAAACAAGTGATAGCTGAAAGTGTCCCGAATTTTGAAAAAGACATAAACCTACAGATTCAAGGAGATGAAGCAATTATGATCAAATGTTAGAAAAACAAAGACCCAGAAAGAAAATCTTGAAAGCAGCTAGAGACAAATGCTGCATCACATGGAGGAGGAAACCATTTGAGTGACATTTTTCATCAGAAGCTATGGAGACACAAAGGAAGCAACACAGCATTATTCAGTGCTGAAAGGAAAGCGCTGTCAACCTCAGATGAACTATGTTCAAATAAAGCAACCTCCTATGCAGGGAAACTAAGAGAATTTGTCACACGCAAGCTTACCCTAAATAAATGTCTACAGGAAATTTTTAGAATTCAAAGGAAGTAATTCAATGAATCTTGGAACATCAAGAAAGGTGTTTTTTAAAAATGGAGAAAGCAAAGATATTGGCAAATAAAAAATAGACCTGCCTTTTCTTCTTTAGACTGCTAGATTATGTTTCATGCCCAATGCAAACATTTCAAGAAAACGATGTTATAAACTGGGGAGGTCAAGGCGTTCTGGACACACCGTGCGCTATGTGTTGAACGGCTAACCAGAAGGTCGGTGGTTCAGACCTACCAGCTGGTCTTCAGGAAAAAGATGAGGCTTTTAGTTCCTATAAATATGTAAAGTCTCAGACACCTATAGGGTCAGTTCGACTCTACCCTGTAGAGTCACCGAGTCCGAATGGACTGAGTCAGAACCAAGTGATTGCAGCGAGTCTGAGTTTCAAAGGACAACGGCCGCTTTACTGTAAAGGGTGGACACCAGTGCATCATTGTGATGACGGCATAGGTCTGTCTCTTGACTGTGATAAAATGATGTCGAACATGCACCAATGTCAAGTTTACTGGTTTGGGGTTTGTGTTTTAGGTACACAGGATGCAACGGTTGTGGGAAGCAGGGCAGTGGGTGCAGGATGACTCTCTGAGCTGTCTTTTTTGCCTTCCTGTGACTCTATACTTCTTTCACAACCAAACAGGGCTGTGTTTGTTTGTTTGCTGTTTTAAAAGAAGAGGAGTGGCAGATGAGCGGTCCATCTGCACAGACAGCTGGGAAACACAGACAGTGGAAACTTCCCAGGCTTTTCCATCCAGAGGCCAAGCGTGACGAGAGATGCAGCTCAGACGCCAAGGGTTTCTGGACTGGAAACTTCAGCTCAGAAACTACTTTCACCCTCCGGTGACATCACAAAGCCTCAGAAGTTCTGTCCACCCGCCCAGAAAGCTTGCCAGTTGAACTATCACCCCAGGATTGTGTTAGCATTGGAAGCAGTTTAAGCTTGCTGAGCACACGTCTTTGCCTGTTCACCGACCTCTAAGGGGGAATGGCCCCAGGCGAGGAGCAGGCTCAGTAGAGTGGCCACAGCTCCGCACCCGTTCCTAGTCTCGAACGAAGAAGATCAAGGGCACTTCTTTGCTTGGTTCCTGGAGGTGGTCTGGCCAGGCTGCTAAACTCTTGGCTACACCTATGTCTTCCCCGCAACTTCCTGCCTTCTTCTGGGATAAGAGTACACTCACCACCGCCATCTCCGACCCTGTTTATCTAGTAAAAGTTCTCTTCTTCTTCGCCTTCCTGATGACCTTGGTCACTCTCCTCATCCTGGTCTGGAAGCTCACCAAAGGCAAAGGCAACGAGAAGGCGGAGGCGGGCTCCAAGAGAGGAGCGACGCTGCTGGCCTGAAGATCACCTCTTGGCGATGCCGTTGAGACGGACAGCTGGCGGTCCAAGAGGTAGAGCCACCTTAGCAGTGTTTGTAAAAATAGCTTTAGTCTCCTAGTTTCCCCCACCCTGGGCCCCTCTCCTGTCTACCACCATCGCCATTATACATCACATACGACCCAGTGTTTTTCCCTTTGCCTAGGCGCCTGAGTTTGAATGTCACTCCCGTGGGCCTTCAAAAGTGAAATGACAAATGACTCTTGATTTCTGCATTAACAGAGGGAAGGATCAAACACCCGATGAACAGAAATGGATTGCAAAGCTCAAATTCTATTTTTAAATTGGAAAATATTGACTATCAAGAATGTCATTTATCAAGTGCTCAGATCTACTAAAATCTCCTTATAAAGACATACCAGGAACTCAGTAGCCAAAGATTCTTGAGATGGTAAAACCCTCCCTCCTCTGCACCGAGCACTGGGAATAAAATCCGTTTCCTCTCAAGATGCCTTGATACTCCGGCTCTTTTATTTCCCCGTCTCCCCAACACTCCTACTCGATGAGTGGCCAAAGTTTAAAATCTCAGGCTATCAACAGGATCATTTCAAAAATACCTTTTCCAAATTTGAAAGAAATTAACTCCCTTCTCAAATAAAAGTTAAATGTTAAGGGGAAACTTCTTATTTTTCCCCCCTCTCCACGAAAAATGATTCTCCCCTCAAATTAGGCATGAGTTACCTTAGGGACCTTTTACCATTTGTCTGGAAGAAATGCGTTTCTCTAGGAGAAAAACCTCTTTGCGTAACCCCTCCTCCTTCAGTATCAGAGCAGGTTATGCCTCTGCCTCCCCCCTGTTCCACATCCACCTTTACTCTGGATGTCTCAAGCCAGTAGTGTCTTCTTCAAGGGACTTTCCGACTGCTTAGAGTAATGGAACTGTGCTTACCCTCCTCTGAGCGGAGGTCCCCTCTCATCTGTGTCAAATACTCTGTGTCGGTCACTCATTCACTTCCCGTTTAACTGGTGGAGAGAAAGGAGCTTTAATAACATGGTGATAAGGAAAGGCTGGTAGAGCTACCAGACCAGAGGGGAGGATTGAGTGCACCCCTGACCGGGACCCCTACCTCCACAAATGTTTCTTGTGGTTGCTGTTGGTGGTGTGGTGGTTTGTGTTTGTGCTTAACCAGCTTTAGCAGGTGGCTGAATGGTATGATTTGGTCCTATTTGGAAATAAGGTTTTCACTGCTGTGCTAATGAACATGTAGGGTGTATCCTAAACCTAATCACTTCTGAGTTATAAGGAGAGCAGATTAGACACAGAGGGATGCCACCCACAGGGCCAGGCAGATGCCAACAGGGGATCCTGGAGAACCAAGGAGCACTCAGAGCTACTGGCAGGAGGGAGTCACCATGACAAGATCCCGATGGAGGCTGTGTGTTAGGCAGGTTTCTCTAGAGAAACAAATCAGGACACTTATGATTATATATTGTGTTAGGGTTCTCTAGAGAGATAAAACCAAATTGCTGATAATTTAATATATTTATTTATAAAGATAATTAGATATATAACACAAGAAATGAACTGCTAAATTATATACAGATCGATACATAATACAAGAAATGAACAGTTAAATTATAAAGCAGTACAAATGGCTCAGTGCAACTCACTCCCATGAGAGAGAGTTGTGAGGCACTAGCAGTCCCTCTAAGTCTAGTCTGCTACCAGGTCTTCCTCTATACAGAGAGAGAGCTAGGCTATGTCAGCACAGCAGCCAATCAGAAGGCAGGTCACCAACTATCAGCCAGGTCACCAACCGCCAGTTCCCAGCTCCAGA